TAATTTATTCATTCATACTTCAACTAACCGACTTACGCGACCACATAAACTCACACTGGCCCATCTAAGTACTGAGCTATCTCACTCATTCATTCTACAACCTTATTTAATTAGCCATAAGTTGCTCACTTAGTTGTTTTTATATCAACACTATCATCATTTATCACTCGCTCATTTTCCAATTTTTAACTCAATCTATAATAAACTCAAATATTCATCTACTCACTGATTCCTTCATTCACCCATTATCTCTCATTCATTATCCAACTCGCTAATATACTCACTTATTCACTTACCGACCAAGCTACATATTATCCATGCATTTAATCACTTACTGGCCAGCTCACTTACTCATAAAATTACTTGATCACTCATTTCCCCACCTCACTCACCCATGTTTACTTAACCAGTTACTGACACACATATCCCATTATTTACATACTCACACTCAATAGCTAGACTTCCGGTTAGATCCCACCGTCAATCATTTACTCTTTCACTTCTGTTTCGGTTTATCCATACAAATGATCACCTACTCCCTTACCAACTGCTTCACTGCTACAATTCGTCATGTTGTCACATTCTCGCCAAACAATTTACGCGCATTCACTCTCTCTTTCCGGCTAACTTGGTCTTTCACTAACATAACAAACCACTGCGTAGCTGAGTCACTAGTTTACTAATTCATTTAATTAATTAATTAATTAATTACTTGCTCAATCATACAATAATTGGCTCACTTTTATTCCATGTATTCACTCTTCTTCATTCACTTGGCCAATCACTTATTTGCTCATTTGATCTCTTCGTTCATTCAATCATTCATTCACTCATTCAGCCTCACCAACTCGCTCGTCTCACCTACTCATAAAAGCAATCACTTATTTAATTACTCATTCATTCAATCACTCACTCACAGACTCAGCCACTGCTGGCCAATCCACATTGGGGAGCGGAGACAAATGCTGTCTGGGCCGCAGGCAATTGGGGCGAAGTGATGCTGTCATGCGTCAAAAGTGGGACTGGGGCGCCATGGGGCAGGAAGGATGGGAGCGAGAGAAAGAGAGCGACCGACCCGTCCAAAGGCTCTCGGTCGGTGGACCGAGGAGCGAAGAGAAGGAGCGACAGAACGAGGCTGCTACGAGAGGAGAGCGGTAGGACGAGAGAACAGGAGAACAGGAGAACAGGAGAAGAGGAGAAGAGGAAAAGAGGAGAAGAGGAGAAGAGGAGAAGAGGAGAGGAGGAGAGACGGAGAAGAGGCAACCATGAGAAGGGGAGAGCGGGAAAGCGAGCGCATTGGGAGACTGGGACAAGCTTTCGGCCAATTGATTGTGAGCGAGGGGCACTTGTCTTTATCACCAAGTGGCGCCTAAGCGTTTCGCTTTACAACCTCGCCTCGCCGCGTCCCGCTAGCGACGAGAGTGGTCTGTCCGGTCGAGGGCAATCACCGTTGGCCTTGGACTTTTTCTCGATGCACCCGCGTTCACCTCAACTCCTGTGTCACACATACACATACACATACACACGTACAAATGTGTTGTTGAAATTGTGGTGGGGTGGTGTGGCAAGACTTGTTGTCACGACGAATTGGAGTAACCGGGCCTAGGGCCCGGTCTCGTTTCCGTCCTATTCCCATTCGCATTCCCATTCCCGTTCCCGTTCCCGTTCCCGTTCCCGTTTCTGTTCCCATTAGCATTGGCGAGCAAGTGCTTTTCAATTCACTTGACACCACAGCACCCACCCTCAACCGTCTTCACTTGCTCCTGCTCAGCTCCTCCTCCTCCTCCTCCTCCTCTTCTCGCCTCTTCTGTACCAGGCCGGACTCCCTGTCCTCCCTCCCCGGCCGGCTCGAGTTGTCTGCTAATTTCGGCCTGTCCCTACCACCAGCTCGCTTCGGGAGCGCGACAATTTCGTGTCCGGCCAGCGCTTTTCCCCACAGCCCCACTCGCGTCGGCACACCTCGACGCCGCCACCGGCCAGCAATCACCGCTTCGGCCTCCCACCCACACTTGCCCACACTCGCCCACAATCGTTTCGGTGTCGGCATTCCCACTTCACGCCCTCCGTCAGCATGCAAACCCGCTCCGAGGCCACCTCATCCCCGTCGACGTTGACTTCGCCGTCGTCATCGCCGTCGCCGTCGCCGTCGCCGTTCGCCAAGCCGTCATCACAGCCGCTCCCGGCAGTGGCCGCGGCCTCCGGCCGCTTGAGTCTGTCGGAGCCGAGCAAACTGAACTCGTTCGCCCTCCCCGACGTCAACGATGACGTCGACGTCGACGCCAACGTGAACGGCGACGCCGAACTGACGACCGCCTCGAGGACGGACGGCCCGCGGGCCTCTGTCCAGCTCCACGCCGCCCGGTCCGGATACTTCGATTTTGCGTCGCCGCTCGCCTCGCACTCGCACACGCACCCGCACTTGCCTCCGCATTCGCCGTCGCCGTCGCCGTCGCCGTCGCCGTTGCCGTTGCCCGTCTTTTCGCTGCCGGCTTCGCCGCCAATCCACGACACCGTCGCCGGCTCTGCGGCCTCTCGCGGCTGTCCGAAGCGCCCGGCCGCGACGGCCGAAGTCAAGACGGACCGTCTGAGTCCGGCCAGAGTGCGCTGCGAGACCGGCTTCTACATCCACTCGCTCCTCCAACCCGCCGCCTCGTGGCCGTCCCACGAGCCCAAGCTCGAGTCCGCTCCTCCGGCTGGCGGACAGCAGCCAAGACGAACGACACTTTTTCCCGGTAAGTCAGACTCTCGCTGTGGCCCCGGCTGGACCCAGTTTTGGAGCAGATTTCTGTTCACGGACGAACCGTTGTGTCTGCGAGAGCATCGTCGGCTATTGCTAGACAGTCTAGACTTACGTAGCTCAGCCCGTCTCTGGGGCGATGGGAGGCGGCGTCGGATAGCAACCGTACCAAAAAGCCCGTTTGCCAGTTCTCCCACTTCAAGCCCGCACGGAACTATGTGCCCACTTTGCCCACGCCAGCGGTTGATCCAAGCGGTGCCAGCAAGTCTGGCAGAAGAATGTGAGGAGCCCGGCTTTACGGATCGTGATTTAAGGCCGGACACGAATTCTGCCAATGGCAGACGCGATCTTCCAGGCGATCTGACCTTCGTAATATATACGAAGAAAAGTTGGGTTTCGAGGAATCTCTTGTTTCATAATTGTTGGGATTACTTCCAT